TTTTCATTTCTTATTAATATTATTCATATTCATATTTCATTTAATTTAACTTATAATTTATTTTTATTGATATTTATATTATATAAATACAAATAGATTAATAAAATTGATATTTATTTATCTTTAATATCAAATTCATTTAATTTATATTTAATAATAGAAAATCATAAGTTAAAATATAGAATATAAGAATAATCAACAATAATAAAATAATAATAAAGATATAAAAGATAATAAATAAATATGATAAAATAGAAGATATAAGAAATAATAAACATATACAATAAATAATAATAAATATTTTAACACAATAAAAAAGAATAATATCAAAAAGAATAAATAAGAAAAGAATAATAATAATATAAATGATAATCAATTATAATTTATTTCTACTTCAATTTATATTGTATTTCATTTATTATATTTTTATTTCATTCACCACCCTCTATCAAAACAAATTCTTGGTATTGTTTCATTTTTCTTTAATTCTTCTTCACATCCACATTCATAAAAACATCCATCTCTAAATGATGTAATTGATGTTGGTATATTAATTGATGTTAATGATGAACAATATTTAAAACAACAATTTCCTAATTCACTAATACTTGTTGGTATATTAATTGACTCTAATTTTGAACATTCATTAAAACAATAATCTCCTAATTCACTAACACTTGATGGTATATTAATAGATGTTAATGATGAACATTCTTGAAAACAATAATTTCCTAATTCATTAATTGATGATGGTATATTAATTGATGTTAGTGTTGAACAATATCTAAAACAATGATCACCTAATTTAGTGATTGAAGATGGAATAATAAATTCATTAATATCTTTCTTGAAAATATTCTTTCCATTGATTATTTGTAGATTATATGGTATTTTAATACCAACTAACACTGGTTCATTCATAAATATTCTTTCTTCACTTATAAATTGTAGATTATCTATATTAATTGATTTTAATGATGAACATTCATAAAAACAATTAAATCCTATTGATATAACTGATGATGGTATATTAATTGTTGTTAATGATGAACATTTATAAAAACAATAATCTCCTATTGATATAACTAATGATGGTATATTAATTGTTGTTAATGATGAACATCTTTTAAACACCAAGCTCCAAGTGATTTAACTTCTGGTGGTATTGTAGTTCCATATGATTTTCTATCTTCTTCTGTATATATTATATTTTACAG